ACATAGGAATTGAGTTTAATCGAGTTTTAATTTATTCTCTTTTAATGTGTATTTTAAAAATAAAATTGTGATAGATAAAAGATATAAAAGGGATATAATTTAGACGTAGAAAATATTTACATCTATCATATTAAATGGAATCAAAATAATATAATAGATTGAAACAATAAATACTATTTTAATATAATTATATGAAATCTAGTTATAAATATTTATTGATGATAATTTTATTTACGTTCAAATCTTTTAAAAATAACAATAAACACGAAATATTGTAACATATAAAACAATACTAAATGCAAACATTATAATATACATAACATAAACAAACCCTACTATTTTAAAGTCTATAACGTGAACAAAGTGATGGTATGAAAAAATACATAACATTACATAAAAATAATCAAATGATTAAAAAAAACACTAAAAAATAACCTATTATTTACAAAAATCAAACCTAATATTTTAGAGTTAAAAGACTAATACTCCAACCACTAAGTTATTAGAATATTCTAATAATAATTTAAAAACAAATTATATTTATATTTATCCGTGTAAATATATAAATATAAAATATATAAATACAAATATATTTTGATATATTTATATTTATATAATTGATATAATTTACTTATAGATTATAATCCGTATGTAATTTACCTACGAACAAGTAATTTTATAGATAATAGATAATTACCACGAATAATATTATATACGGATAGTAATTACGTAGGTAATGGAGGACAACATTATCTACAGACAATAATTCTGTAGGTAATGGATAATATTCACAAATAATATTACCTACGGACAATAATTATGTTGATAATAAATAATTAGTCACGGATTATATTATCTACGGATAATAATTTTATAAGTAATAGATAATTTACATACGGATAAGATTCTTATGATAATACATGTATGTCACGTACATACTTACGGATTTTTATCCGTAAACAATATTTTATAGATAATAACTCTTTTTTTTAATAGAAAAAAATATAATCGAGACTTGTTTTTTTGTGATTTTTAAAAATAGGATTTTAAAAGTAACTTTTAAAATAGTGTTTAAAAACTGTTTTTATTTTTTAAATTGTAAAAAAATATTTGTTCTGTTCTAATTTTATATTTTTAATCATGGATACGAATATTTTGATCATCATACCGTAGTCTTCGGCTGTAAAATAAATTTCAAAAATTAAATATTAACAATGAATTAGATCATACAAATCCTAATTATGATTATTAATCTTTTGAACCAAAGTTCTTTTAATTAATTAAATTATTTAAACTATTTTATTTCAACAAAGCTTAACTTAAAATAACAATAAGATACTTATTTATTATATTATCCTATTTATACTAACAATTATGTATTATTTAGAAAAGAAATGATATATTACACTTTATACATTTTCATTAATTAAATTAGAATGGAGGAAAAAAATGAAGAATAAAATATCATTTCCAAAGTTTGACTGAAATTATGCGAGCTACAAAAATAACAAATTATATTAATTAAAAGTTAATTTATAAGGAAGTAACGTCCTTTGTTAGCGGGTGAAGCAAAGTCAAAGCAACACCGCACACACGTTAAAGTCTATGCCCATACAGACATAAGGTTGAAACTAAACTGATGAATCATGATGGAGTACGGCAACCACGAAATACGCCACCGTTTCAAAACTGCTTTTCCATTCTGCATGACTTTTCCACCACATTTTTATATTTATATGTATTTTTTTTCCAACAAGTAAAAACAAAACTTAAATATAAATGCTTAGTGTTTAAAAAAGTTTTAGAAATTAGTCATTTAAAAAATAAAATTATTTTTTCAGTATTTAAAAAATAATTGTAAAAATTAGACTTAAAAAATATAGTTATAAATGAAGAAGTCCCAAAATCATGTTTTGAATGGGTTAAGTTGTGTTTGCGTGAGGGTAAGTTTTATTTCATCTAATGAATGAGATTGGTTTGACGAGTGGAAATGCAAATTTTTTAGAAAAGTAATTTATGTATATTATTATTTTTTTATAGATAAAAATTATACTTTTTAAAGACAAATTAATAAGAAATAAGAAAATATCAACTAGTTATTAATTATATATTTTTGTTATTAATTATATTAAAAAAATCATTTAAATTATTTTAAATATATTATAATAATAATAATAATATATAGTAAATATATTAAACTTTTCAATCACATAATATTAAATTAAGTGTAATTTATTATCTAAAATATTTTGGTAAGAATTTTATAAAAAAAATTAATTTATTATTTTAAATTAGTTAATGCATTTTTATGTTGTATTGGTTTCTTTTTCTCTTTTAAGTAAATTTCTCATTCTTTTTTCTATTTGTTAAAATTTGGAGTATAGATTTCGATTAATCTAATTTATTTATTATTGAACTTTTTTTTTTCAATAATTTTTTTAAAATCAAATATACACTTTTCTTAAACTCTAACTATACAATAATATATGATAAATAATGTGTGTGATCGAGATTAGGAAAAATCTCATTAAAAATAAATAAAATTTTAAACTTTTAAAGGAAAAATTATAATAATTATATCTATATTTTTTCTATTAGAATATTTTAAATGATAAATTATATCTACATTAATATTATTTATTATCTTAGTAATAAAATTAAAGACTCATTTATATTAGATTGTGAGAAGATATAAAAAAAACAGTGCATACATCTCATAGTATAGTATTTATAAAATATATTTTTAAATATATAGTTTATATTATAATTGAAAATCATAACAACAATATTTTAAAAATATAAAGAAAATTTTAAATTAATGAAAAACATTATATTAGACACAAATTGTTAATTATTAATTTTTTAAATTAAAAATAAATAAAGAAAAAAAACCAAGAAACCAGGAAAAACTTCTAAAAACAGGTTTTGTTGATTTTTTTTATATTTATTATTTTATATATATATATAAAATATTTTCTTTGTTATTTTTATATTATAAAAAAGAAAAATATAATAATTTATAAATTTAATAAAATATAAAATAAATGAAAAAATGTTAATATTTTAAAACGAGAAAAATAAAATAAAATAATTTAATAATATAAAATTTTATTCACTAATTATATATAAAGGGAATTATTTAAATTTTTTATTGGTTATACTTTTTTTTATCAGGATTAATTAATTGTATGAATTTATATTTTAAATTTAATTATAAAAAATATTTTATTAAAAAAGATAACTAATTAATTTTATCATATGAATTTATGTAATTAATAATATTAATTCTTAAGGAGTGTAGATTAACTTTAAGAGGTGGAAAAAAAAGATATAAAATAGTCAGATGAAATGAAATGAAAAATAAGAAATTATTGTTGTGTTCAGTAGAGATTTTTTTTGTCTATGTGCAAAAGTTTTTGAAACAACCTCAGGAATATATATATATTTCATGAGACTCAAAATATTCAAAACTTTCGTCTAAGAGTAAAAAAAAAAGATTTACAAGAAATAAAAGATAAAAAAAAATCGAATGAAAAAATGTTTATATATTACAATCTTTCGTAAAGGCAAAGGACGTCTATTTGATTGTCTCTTGGTCAACTTTTGGTGTTAATTTCTAAATGGTACAACTTAGATTTTCCACTTTAATTTCATTATACTTCTTTTAACTACAAATAATCTTGTTTGTTTTAAAAGTTGGAAAATTAATCTTCATATCTTAATAAAAAACATACTTTAATCAAAATATATAAATAAATTAATTCAAATATATATCTATAAGAGATTTATTATCATCAAGTCTAACTCAATTGATTAAACAAAATACAATCTATTATAAGATATTATAAACAAAATTATAATCTCCTTAACTTCATCAATTTATATGAAAAAAATTATTCCAGTAAAAATAATTTTAATTACATACAATCTTTTGTATATTTAAGTTATTATAAAAAATATATATTTATTAAAATATGATAAAAATATTTTAAGGGAATCTCTTGATTTAATAATATTTTATAATACACAAAAACATTTATAAATAATTTTATTTATAAAATGCAAATATAATTTTACTCACATTTATAAATAATATTTTAAAATGATATAAATTCAAAATTTAAAAGTTTAATAAAAACTAATAAAATTTAATAAAATAATATTTATTCAATATAATAAATATATGATAAAATATTTTAATAATAATATTTAAAAAAAATAATAAAACATATTTTTATAATAAATTATAATTAAAAGTTATAAATATAAAATATATAATAAATAATTATTAAAATAAAATAAAAATATAATATTTAAAATTGACATAATTAATATATAATAATAATAATAATAAAAATATTATATTATATTCTAAAAAAAGTTATATTAAAAAGTTAATCTTAGTTTTTTAATCAAGATCTAAAAATTCAATCAATTATTTTATTAATTTTTTTTAATTTAATTATTTAAAAGTAATGAAACAACTTTTAAATCAAATTTCAATTAAACCGATTAAATTCAACACTTCCTTCTTATTTTCAAAACAATAGTAAGAAGTTCTACACTTATTTCTAATAGGTATAATTAAAAATTGATTTTATTTTTCAAACCTAAGTACATTTCTGACCTTGTTTGGTACGGAGAAAACCTCACAGATAATTTCAGTATTTGGCCAAATTTATTAGCCAAGTACAAAAATAAGTTCACTGTAGTTGGTCAAAGCGACCATATTTTATAATTAAATTTATGTATCCTCATTTTCTTTATTTTTTTTACACATATATTAAATTTACTTATCTCTATTTTATTTTTATTATTTATGATTATTATTATTACTATTATTTATTTAGAATCTTCCTTAAGAATGATAATTCAAACAGTCAATTCATATGACATGAGTTTTCTCTCTTTCCACCTGTCATTTCTGCATAAATTGAGCTTGTACTGAGGCTAAATTATTTACATAATATCTTATTTTTATATTATCGTGCAAAGCAAGCATGAAGGAGAGCTTGAGGGAAGAACAAATTGGGGAGTTTTTGGAGGCCTTCTGTCTCTTTGATAAAGATGGAGATGGTAAGTAAATTTCTTTAAACTGTTTCTCCATTTTCTTTCCATTGCTGTATTTCTCGCATGATTTTCTCTCCTTTCTTACTCATATATATATATATATATATAATTGGAGAAAAGGCTGCATAAACATTGAAGAACTAGGCACCGCGATCAGATCACTAGATGAAAATCCAACGCTGGAGGAGTTGCAGATTATGATGAGTGAAGTGGATACGGACTGCAACGGAACCATAGAATTCGGGGAATTCTTGAATCTCATGGCCAGAAAAATGAAGGTGCACGCAAAGAAAGTACACTGTCATCAATTTATTAATTCTATATAAGTTAAAAGTTTATGGTAACGACATGTGTTGATTTCATTCTTGCAAACGGAAAAGGAAAGTGAAGCAGAAGAGGAATTGAAGGAAGCTTTCAGGGTGTTTGACAAAGATCAAGACGGTTATATCTCGGCCAGTGAGGTTATTTAAATTTGTTAATTGCCTGAGTTAATTATAAATGTTAATTTAATTTGTTGAATTAGATGGTTAAGTGTGAAGCATATGCGAGTGCAGTTGAGGTCTGTAATGAGAACGATTGGAGAGAAGGTTACAGACGAAGAAGTGGCACAGATGGTGAAAGAGGCTGATTTAGATGGTGACGGCCTCGTTGATTATCAAGAGTTTGTCAGAATGATGTTGGCTGCATAATCAAACCTCAACCCAGCTTTGAGAGATAAATAAATTAAATTCTTGAAATCTGGATGTGAATTAGATTCTAATTTTGTAGAATTGAAATCTGGATTATTTTTTTATTATATACTTCTAACATAACCATTAAAGTACCTGTATTTTTATATTATCATTTTTATTTAAATTTATTTTATATTTTTATATAAATAATGAATTTTCTTTTTATTTTTTATATTTATCTATTTTATTTATCTTTCTATTTTTTCAAATAATAATATTATAATAATAATTATTCAAAAGAACATAGATCATTATTTTATCAATGATGATAAAAACAATAATTAAAAAAATCTTTATATAATACTATAAATAAACACACGTAATAATTCTTTTATTAATTATTTTAAATATATATATATATATATATATATTTTTTTTTATATGTACTGGATACCTAATAAGTCAAAACAAACGAAGCATAAGAAGACAATAAATTGATAATAAAATTGACAAGTGAATATTTGTTAGCGATACTCGTCCTAACGTGTCACCATATATTAAGGATGAAAAATTATCATTTTCCATTAAAAAAAATAAGCTTCTGCGTTTTCAACTAATGAAACACGTTTTCACATCTTGATTTATTTTATTTTTTATGATTTATGATTATATATTTTATTTTATTTTATTTAGTGGCTGTTGAAAATGTATCGATGCAAAACTAAGAAAATAGTTTGTGCAATATTTTTTTCACTTGGAAGCTTGTGATTTCAATATCAAATGGTTAAAACGTGACCAAACTAATATTAGTAAAATTGTTATAATAATGAAATATATAGGAATAATATTAAAATATAATATTACAATTTTAATATTAAAAACAAAAATAAACAAAATTTTTATAGCTTCTGAATATTCAAAATACAAATACAAATTCAATAAAATATATTATAATAATTGAATAAAAATGTAAACTATATAAAATATATTTATTACTAATAATAAATTTATATTTAAAATGAACATAGTTTTTTTTATTATTATATTGAAATATAACATAATGACATTATATACAAACCAGTTAAAATTGTTATTTAACTTTTTTTAATATCATATATACTAGAAGTAAAATAAATAAATAAAGAGATATACAAAAATATCATAATTAAAAGTCACACCGTTTGTGGAGTATATATATATATATATATATATATATATATATATATATATTAAATAAATCTAAATTTCATAAATTTTTAAAATATATAGAGTAGAATACATTTTAAATATACATAAAAAGTTATAAAATCTAAATCTATTTAACATGATGAAATTGGTTTAAATTTTGTAATATAATTTAAATTTCAATAAATTTTATAATATTTAATAATTTAATTGAGATAGAACTTGTCTAATTTAATATTATCTAACATAATTTTATTATAAAGTATCATCTAGTTAGATATAATTTAACTTAAATAAGCCTAAACTAATTTAATTAATTTATGAAGAATTCATTTGATTCAATTTGATATAATTTTGTTGGTTTGACGTAACTTAACTTATAAATTTGATTCAACTCAACTTATTAAATTCAATCTTATTTTAATATTTTAAAAATTAAATTTATACTCAATCCAATATCAAATTTATATTTAAAATAATATAAATGGAAAAATATAAATTTAAGATACTTTTGAATTTTGTCAATTTCAAGAGTTAATACTAATGTTGTAAACAACTTTTTTTAATATTATAATAATAATTTTAATTTATTTTTATTAAATCATTCGATAGATTATTATATTAATAAAAATGAGTTATTGAAAGGGTTGAATGATTTTTTGTTATAAAAATATCACGATAATATATATATATATATATATATATATATATATAATATTTTTAATATCTAAAAATAAACTTTTCAAAATATTTTCTCACAGCTGGGATATTTGATAATAAGAAAAATTATTAGAAAGAAGAAAACGGAGTAAGTTGGATTATTGGTGGAGGAACACAAAAATGACAGATATTCCTGGAGTGAAGCTTGGAAGCCAAGGCCTGGAGGTTGGTTTTTGTGTTCTTGAATTTTGATTTGATATCCTTCACTCAAATAATCGTTCTGAGTTTTCATTGTCTTGTATGAATCGTTTTGAATTTAAGGTTTCTAAGTTAGGATTTGGGTGTATGGGCCTTAGTGGAGTGTACAATGATCCTGTTCCTGAATATGTTGGCATCTCTTTGATCAAACACGCATTCAACAAAGGGATAACTTTCTTTGATACTTCAGATGTTTATGGTGCACATGCCAATGAAGTTTTGGTCGGAAAGGTTGACTAACTTAACACTGTAATATATCTGTTTCATTTTAACAAATAACAATCTGACAATGTAATGTAATATGAAATTTTGATTAACTCTCAGGCGCTCAGGGACTTGCCTAGAGATAAAATTCAGATTGCCACAAAGTTTGGGATCGTCAAAATAGTTTCTAATAATGTGGAAGTGAACGGTTCGCCTGAATATGTACGATCCTGTTGCGAGGGTAGCCTCCAACGCCTTGGTGTCAGCTACATTGCAGCACCGTGTTGACACCACAGTTCCCATTGAGGACACCGTGAGTGTGCCACCAAACACTTTTTGTCATTTCTTAATGTGAGGAAAATTTGGTGGCTCTGTCATTTATATGTTGTTTGGTTTTCTTTGAATGAAAGATGGGAGAGCTCAAAAAGCTGGTCCAAGAGGGAAAAATAAGGTTCATAGGATTGTCGGAAGCCAGCCCTGAGACAATTAGGAGGGCACATGCTGTTCATCCCATCACTGCTGTGCAAATGGAGTGGTCTCTTTGCACTCGTGAAATTGAGCAAGATATTGTTCCACTTTGCAGGTACTTCTCCAAGATGTCGCTGATGTAAAATGTTTCTCTGCAGAATTATATCATTTGTTTCCTGATTCCCGGACACAATTGAATTTTTAAGTGTAGATAACTTAAAATCTCTGCCTTACAGGTTGAACTTCTCAATTATTTATGGTTATGAACAAATATGCATAAAAGATTTTACAATTATTTCACCAAAAATGTAAAGATTAAGTTATGAGATTTTTAACTGTTCCCGTTGGAAGGATCATAGGCATTCAGGTTGGATTGCTCTTAGGAAATCACTTTTAGTTTAGTTTTGAAAATCTGAATTGCTTCTGAATAGATTTGCTTAAACTGAACTAAACTATAACTTATATGAGATTGAAAAATAGGCTTTAAAATGAGTTGTTCATTGATAATAGTTTGAGCAATTCTGATAGTTGAAACAGTTCAAAAGGAGTTCAAAGTAGGTCGATTTAGTTTTGTTCACTCAAGCTGTTATGTAGTTCAGTTTCTCTGAACAATTATACGAACCATTTTTAAAGTTCAATAAAATTCTACAATAGTTCAGTTCAGTTCATGCATTTGTCCACTTTTAGTCCTAAACCGAAACTGCGATGCCAGCAACACTATTTGTGCCCCTCTTTTAATGCTGAATAGACATGGTGGAAGTCTCTAATACAAGTTATTAGAAACTGGATCAGGATTATAGAGAGTAAAGCTCCTATTAACAGATAGATGTAAAAATGACTCCCAGGACTTTCGAGAGACCTGGACTCTCCCATGAATGACAATCTGAATTCCCTCTCAAATCACAATAAAATCTATCCTTCAACCCTTTTTCTTATTTCTAAGAAGCATGAGGTTACCTATTAGTTTTCTACAGCCTTCTTTTTGATCTATCTGTTTTGCAGTCTCTTTATATTTTTTGAGAAACTAAAAATGGTTCCTCGAATCATTGGGTTTATGGCTACATATCTCTAATGGTTTCAGAAATGGCAGGTTCATACCATTGTTTTTTTCTGCGACATCTTTGAACAATGGTCCTCTACAGTTTATCTGCACCTGTGTATAGTTCATTATCCTGCCATTAAAATTATTATATTATAATCTTCGTTTTTAAATTATCTATTATAGAAAACATGAAAGGTTTGGAATCAATCTCTTTCAAGAGAAGATATTTGTTTATACACTTGATAAAATAGCTTCAGTTGCTTCGGTTGTACCCTTTTTAATTTGTGTATATACGACCAAGTTATTTCTTTCATTTTCCTTCGTGAATTTTTTTTAGACTTTGTAGGCAACACTTGCAGGGAGCTTGGAATTGGAATAGTGCCATACAGTCCCCTTGGCCGTGGATTTTTTGGAGGCAAGGCTGTCATAGAAACTATACCTGCAAACGGTTTTCTGGTATGGGCTTAATTCTTTTCCTTCTGATGATGGTAGGACTGGTTCATTCTTCACCAATATTTCTTTACGCAGGCAATGCAACCAAGGTTACAAGGGGAGAACTTAGACAAGAACAAAATCTTATATTCTAGGATTAAAAAGTTGGCAGAGAAGCATGGATGTACATCTTCACAGCTTGCTCTCGCATGGATTCTTGGTCAAGGAGATGATGTGGTACCCATCCCCGGTGAGTATTTTTTGTACCTGCATCAAATTTGTTGAGTTGTGGTAAGTATTATATTATATGAAATTATTTTGAAACTGTATTATGTCTAGAAATTTCTTCACATTCATATTGCTTCGAAGGGTCATATAGGAAAACAACTACCTGTAAGGTTGTCAATCATTAGAAATCAAGGCAAATGGGAAAGCTGGAAAGGAATTCTGTTCGCAAATGAGAGGAGTGAGCGAGAGTCAAAGGGGGAAAATAACAAACTCCATGTGGAAGGATTTTGTCCAAGAGATAAAAACAAATATGGGGGTGGAAAAGTATGATGTGATTATTCCCTCTCTGATTCTGATTCTGCTTCTGCTCATAGATGTCCATAAAATAGTGACCCAGTTTCCTTTTCAGCATTAGTATGATTAAACTACCTTTCATTTTTTTATTGATTTAATCATCAAAATGGTCCTGAAATTACAATCACCTGTAACTTTAGTCCCTAAATGATAGGAATCCATCAATTTCATCCTTGACTTTGGCAATTATCGGTCATTTTGGTATCCTGACATTGATACACCACATTGATCTAATTCTTGACTTTGTTTAGTATTACTCAATTTATCTCTAAAACAGTAGGAATCAAATCACTGTATGGTTATCACTTTTAGTGACCAAATTCACAATAGTTTTTTTAATTTAGGAACTGAATTGAATGACAGTTATGAAAGTCACAGACTAAGTTGGCATTTTTATAATATCAGGGGCTAAATTGAAGGGTCTTTATGATGTCAAGACTAATTTGACATACTAATAGTTTTTATTACATACCAATTTTTCTTTGGACGAAGTTGTCCCTCTTGTCCTTGACATTTCTTGAGAAGATAGGAATCACCTTTGCTCATCTTCAATTTTGCCTCGCGTAATTATTGTCATTCATTCTTTTCTTATAGGGTTTGTTCTGATCATTTTCCCTTGTAGCGTTGTTTTGAGATAGGATTTTTTAATTTTTAAATTTTTTACATTGGCCAATAATTCATGAATCATGACTCATCTAAACATATGCAGGAACCCCTTGATCATGAGCTCATAATACTATATACCATATCACCTTTTAAATGTGAATTGTTTTTTCGTGTGAATTAACTTATCTGTAACCTCTCATGTATTGTAGGAACAACTAAGATAAAAAATCTTGATAGCAATATTGGTTCATTGGAAGTGAAGCTGGGCAAAAATGATTTAAAGGAGATAACAGCTGTACCAATTTCTGAGGTGGCAAGGGATCGGATGGATGGATTTGTTAGATGTTCATGGAAGTTTGCTAATACCCCACCCAAAGCATAACTAGTTTCCGATCTCCATGTAAGCCTCTTAATTTAATCGCAAAACTTATGCTGTTTTCTTAATTATGATCATGTTTATTACACGAGGAGACCGTGTGATCAAGCCAAGAAATCCATCACTGTTTCAATCATGGTTAAATCAATGTTTCACCGGTCATTTTTATTAATCATTAACAAATGCATCCACATGCACACCCACTATATAGGGCATGCAATGGTGTTGGTAAATTACACCATCTCAAACCACACTCACACATCAAGATAAATTACGCGATCTAAATTATAAACTATTATTCTTGATATTCGGTCTGTTATAATGAGTGAAAAGGAGACCTATTTATGTGGCAGTGTCACCCTTTTTATCTATTTTGTGACATCTGGTTAATCAGTTTTCTTTCAAATGTAACTATGTAGAATAAAAGACAAATGCTAGCAAGTTATTTGGAGGTAATATTTAAAGAAGTAAAAATGTTTTTTTAACAAAATAAGTATTATTATATCTAAAGTGAGTTATTGTTATAACTTATCATATACTTTTTTCATTTTGAAAGATAACTCATAAATTAAGACTTTTAATTAGTATCCTCTTTTATATATATTTTTTAAAAGTTCCTTGTTATGATTTATCTTAGTAGTTATTTTTCTCTCATTTATGATAAATGTTTAAAATATTTAATAATTGGGTAGAGATAGAAACAATTTGTTTAAAATTTGTTTAAAATTTGAAAATAGTAAAATAAAGGAACAAATGTAATATTTCATAAAAAGAATTAATAAAATTCATCCTAATATCTTTCATTCATATAAAATAATTTTTTTCTCTTTATTAAGTGAGAATAAAAATATTGATTAAAGAGTATGAAGTACACATTTTGGTAGAAAATATAATTAAATATTCTGTCAAATGTTCTAATTATCCCTTTCAATTACTATATGATTTATCATTTTAGACTTTATTTTTGTTAAACAAATTGTAGAAATTCAAGTTTTAGTATTTTTTTTGTTAATTATATCCTTATTCAATGATTATGTGTTTTGGTTCCATTTGAAAATCAACCCGTGGGCTCGCAATATGTGAAATTTTTTAGGATGTTTATTGGTGTGAATCAAACCATTTTAATTAGTTTGAATTTTTAGTATAATTGGTGATGATTAGTTCAAGCCGAACCTGTGGTTTACAAATTTAATGAATTCGAACTAAACTAACTATTTATTTGTTTTATCAGATTTAAAGTTTTATAATATAATTAAATATTATAATAAAAATATTGTGTGTTAGTTATGCACAATTTTTTAGATAAATATATTTTTTTAAAATATTATTTTTTATAACTTTTTATCTCTTATCTTTGTCATTAAATTAATAAATTTAAATTTTATGTTTTCCTAAATCCAATTAAAAACTACTGAAACACCCTACAAGGCGTTTGTTTAGACAATTTTTTTTTTCATAAACGCGTCACTAACAAGATTCCAAACATACTAGTTATTTAATGGACAATTTACCAACAAAATACATTTTAAACATACAAAAAAGGGTTATAAAATCTAAATCTATTTAACATGATGAAGTTGGTTGAAATTTTGTAATATAATTTAAATTTCAATCAAATTTATAATATTTAATAATTTAATTGAGATAGAACTTGTTTAATTTAATATTATCTAACATAATTTAACTTAAAATAAGCCCTAACTAGTTTAATTAATTTATGAAAAAAATTCATTTGATTCAATTTGATCTAATTTTGTTGATTTGACACAACTTAACATATAAATTTGATTTAACTCGACTTATTATATCTTATTTTAATATTTAAAAAAATAAAAAAAATAAATTTATATTCAATTCAAAATCAAATTTATATTAGAAATAATATAAATGAGAAAATATAAATTTAAGATACTTTTGAATTTCGTCAATTTCAAGAATTAATACCACAGTATTACAAATTAAACAAAATTAAAGTGGAATATATAAAATATTTTTAATATCTAAAAATAAACTTTTCAAAATAATTTTCTCACAGCTCGGATGTTTGATAATAGAAAAATGAGAGTACGAGAAAAGAAAATAATAAAAAAAGTGAAAAATAATTCTGATTATTTGAAGGAAAAATAATATGAAAAAGAAAAAAATATTCATTTTACAAAATAATAGATAATTAAATTAAAATTAAATAATTATTATAAAATTATTTTTATAATTAATAAATATTTTTTATTAATAAAATAGTTTTTTAAATTAATATTTTATTTTTAATAATATATTTTTTGATATATAATTATGATTTTTTTATTATAAAGTTATTACTGTTTTCAAAAGTTATTTAAAATTAAATTAACAAAATAATATCATATTAAAAATAAATTTAAAATATATTAAATTATTTATTTAGTTTTTATAATTTATAACATTTTTTAAAATACAATAATAATTAAAAGTATATATATATATATATATATATTAAAATTATAATCATAAAAATAATACTATTTATTTTAGTAAAAATAATTTAATAAAATAACTTTTTTTTCTTTGTTATTTTTTAATTATCAAATAATAGAGATTTTTTATCTTTTCATTCTACACTTTCTGTCAATCAAATTTTTAAAAAATAATATTTTTCACCCTTATTTTCTACACTAGTTATTTTCCTTCCCAAGAGACGAAAGAGTTAAAGTAAATAAAAATGATTGTATTTGAATAAGGATTACACATTTAGAGTTTAATTTAAGTAACCAAATTAAGAGTTTAATTTAAAAAGGAAATAGTACGCATATTGTTATTATTATTATTATATTATTACAAGAAATTATAGATTGAATAATGGTTGTCTTTCAATCCCTACACTATGAATAATGGTAGAGTTGGTGAGATTGAATTGAAGGTGGCGCGCTCAAGGAGTTAGGTTCACCAACCTCGGGGCACCAGCATTTGAAGACTATTAGAAAGAAGAAAGAGAGTAAGTTGGATTATTGGTGGAGGAACACAAAAATGGCAGATATTCCTCGAGTGAAGCTTGGAAGCCAAGGCCTGGAGGTTGGTTTTTGTGTTCTTGAATTTTGATTTGATATCCTTCACTCAAATAATCGTTCTGAGTTTTCATTGTCTTGTATGAATTGTTTTGAATTTAAGGTTTCTAAGTTAGGATTTGGGTGTATGGGCCTTAGTGGAGTGTACAATGATCCTGTTCCTGAATATGTTGGCATCTCTTTGATCAAACACGCGTTCAACAAAGGGATCACTTTCTTTGATACTTCAGATGTTTATGGAGCACATGCCAATGAAGTTTTGGTCGGAAAGGTTGACTAACTTAACACTGTAATAGATCTGATTCACTTTAACAAATAACAATCGACAATGTAATGTAACATGAGATTTTGATTAACTCTCAGGCGCTCAGGGACTTGCCTCGAGATAAAATTCAGATTGCCACAAAGTTTGGGATCGTCAAAATAGTTTCTAATAATGTGGAAGTGAACGGTTCCCCTGAATATGTACGATCCTGTTGCGAGGGTAGCCTCCAACGCCTTGGTGTCAGCTACATTGATCTGTATTATCAGCACCGTGTTGACACCACAGTTCCCATTGAGGACACCGTGAGTGTGCCACCAAAAACTTTTTGTCACTTATTGATGTGAGGAAAATTTGGTGGCTCTGTCATTTATATGTTGTTTGGTTTTCTTTGAATGAAAGATGGGAGAGCTCAAAAAGCTGGTCCAAGTGGGAAAGATAAAGTTCATAGGATTGTCGGAAGCCAGCCCTGAGACAATTAGGAGGGCACATGCAGTTCATCCCATCACTGCTGTGCAAATGGAGTGGTCTCTTTGGACTCGTGAAATTGAGCAAGATATTGTTCCACTTTGCAGGTACTTCTCCAAGTGGTCTCATTTGTTTCCTGATTCTCGGGCACAATTGAATTTTTAAGCGTATATTGTTGTAAAAACCTGACAAAGACACTAATAAAACTTAATTTGATTTCTGAGACATGTATAAATATTACCTTGAGAATTTATCCGTGTATTACCAAAATCCCTCCTAATATAACAGGAATTTCTTGACTCCTAATATAACAGGAATTTCTTGAAATTTTCGAGGAATTCAGAAATTAACAAATAACTCTTAAAAATGTAAATAAACACAAGATAAAAGAAATGAAAAAGAAAAAATGAAAGAATCACTAAAATTATATATTTTGGAGGAGTGTAGAGTGGTTTATTTACAGATGTAGATGTAGTATAAGTAACAAACCCATGTCCGTCTTCAACATCATGGGTCTTTTAGGCCTGGAAACATGGAGAGTAGAGTACTTTTAGATTAGTGGAACATGTTATTAGAAACTGGATCAGGATTATAGAGAGAAAAGCTCCTATTAACAGATAGATGTAAAATTGACTCCCAGGACTTTCGAGAGACCTGGACTCTCCCATGACAATCTGAATTCCCTCTCAAATCACAATAAAATCTATCCTTCAACCCTTTTTGTTATTTATAAGCAGCATGCTTTTCTAATTATCCCAGCCCCTAACTAACTAACTCTAATTATTCTAGTAACTGTATAACTGAGGTTACCTATCAGTTTTCTACATCCTTTTTTTGGTCTATCTGTTTTGCAGTCTATTTATATTTTTTGAGAAACTAAAAATGGTTCCTCGAATCATTGGGTTTATGGCTACATATCTCTAATGGTTTCAGAAATGGCAGGTAGATACCATTGTTTTTTTCTGTGACATCTTTGAACGATGGTCTTCTAGAGTTTATCCGCACCTGTGTAGTTCATTATCCTGCCATTAAAATTATTATATTATAATCTTCGTTTTTAAATTATCAATTATAGAAAACATGAATGGTTTGGAATCAATCTCTTTCAAGAGAAGATATTTGTTTATACACTTGATAAAATAGCTTCAGTTGCTTCGGTTGTACCCTCTTTTTAATTCGTGTATACACGACCAAGTTATTTCTTTCATTTTTCTTCGTGAATTTTCATTAGACTATGGTGGCAAAACTTGCAGGGAGCTTGGAATTGGAATAGTGCCATACAGTCCCCTTGGCCGTGGATTTTTTGGAGGCAAAGCTGTCATAGAAACTATACCTGCAAACGGTTTTCTGGTATGGGCTTAATTCTTTTCCTTCTGATGATAGTAGGACCGGTTCATTCTTAACCAACATTTCTTTACGCAGGCAATGCAACCAAGGTTACAAGGGGAGAACTTAGACAAGAACAAAATCTTATATTCTAGGATTGAAAAGTTGGCAGAGAAGCATGGATGTACATCTTCACAACTTGCTCTAGCATGGATTCTTGGTCAAGGAGATGATGTGGTACCCATCCCCGGTGAGTGATTTTTTGTACTGCATCAAATTTGTTGAGTTGTGGTCAGTATTATATGATATGAAATTATTTTGAAAATGTATTATGTCTAGAAATTTCTTCACATTCATACTGCTTCGAAGAGTAGGAAAACAACTACATGTAAGGTTGTCAATCATTAGAAATCAAGGCAATGGGAAAGCTGGAAAGGAATTCTGTTCGCAAATGAGAGGAGTGAGAGAGAGTCAAAGGGGGAAAATAACAAACTCCATGTGGAAGGATTGTGTAAGAGATAAAAACAAATGGATGGGGGTGGAAAAGTATGATGTGATTATTCCCTCTCTGAATTCTGTTCTAGAAATCTTCTTCTCTGATTCTGACTCTGCTTCTGCTCATAGATGTCAATAAAATAGTGACCCAGTTTCCTTTTCAGCATTAGTATCATTAAACCACCTTTCATTTTTTATTGATTTAATCATCAAAATGGTCCTGAAATCACAATCACCTGTAACTTTAGTCCATAAATGATAGGAATCCATCAATTTCATCCTTGACTGTGACAATTATCGGTCATTTTGGTATCCTGACATTGATAGACCACATTTGATCTAATTTTTTACTTTGTTGTGTATTACTCAATTTATCTCTAAAACAGTAGGAATCAAATCACTTTATGGTTATCACTTTTAGTGACCAAATTCACAATAGTTTTTTTAATTTAGGAACTGAATTGAATGACAGTTACGAAAGTCATAGACTAAGTTGACATTTTTATAATACCAGGGGCTAAATTGAAGGGTCTTTATGATGTCAAGACTAATTTGACATACTAATAGTTTTTACTACATACCATTTTTTCTTTGGACGAAGTTGTCCCTCTTGTCCTTGACATTTCTTGAGAAGATAGGAATCACCTTTGCTCATCTTCTATTTTGCCTCGTATAATTATTGTCATTCATTCTTTCCTCATAGGATTTGTTCCGATCATTTTTCATTGTAGCGTTGTTTTGAGATAGGATTTTTTATTTTTTTATTTTTTTACATTGGTCAATAATTCATGAATCATGACTCGTCTGAACATATGCAGGAACCCCTTGATCATGAGCTCATAATACTATATACCATATCACCTTTTACATGTGAATTGTTTTTTCCTGTGAATTAACTTATCTGGAACCTCTCATGTGTAGGAACAACTAGGATAAAAAATCTTGATAGCAATATTGGTTCATTGGAAGTGAAGCTGGGAAAAGATGATTTAAAGGAGATAACAGATGCTGTACCAATTTCTGAGGTGGCAGGGGATCGGACTATCGAAACATTTGTTAGATGTTCATGGAAGTTTGCTAATACCCCACCCAAAGCATAACTAGTTTCCGATCTCCATGTATGCCTCTCAATTTAATCGCAAAACATATGCTGTTTTCTTAATTATGATCATGTTTATTACATGAGGAGACCGTGTGATCAAGCCAAGAAATCCATCACTGTTCCAATCATGGTTAAATCAATGTTTCACCGGTCATTTTTATTAATCATTAACAAATGCATCCACATGCATACTCACTATGTAGGGCATGCAATGGTGTTGGTAAATTACACCATCTCAAACCACACTCACACACATCAAGATAAAGTACGCTATCTAAATTATAAACTATTATTCTTGATATTCGGTCTGTTATAATGAGTGAAAAGGAGACCTTTTTATGTGGCAGTGTCACCCTTTTTATCTATTTTGTGACATCTGGTTAATCCGTCTTCTTTCACATGTAACTATGTAGAATGAAAGACAAATGCTAGCAAGTTATTGGGAGGTAATGTTTAAAGAAGTAAAAATGTTTTTTGAACAAAATAAGTATTATTATATCTAAAGTGAGTTATTGTTATAACTTATCATATACTTTTTTCATTTTGAAAGATAACTCATGAATTTAGACTATTAATTAGTATCCTCTTTTATATATATATATATATATATATATATATATATATATATATATATATATTTGTTATGATTTAAAATATTTAATAATTGGGTAGAGATAGAAACAATTTGTTTAAAATTTGAAAATAGTAAAATAAAGGAACAAATGTAATATTTCATAAAAAGAATTAATAAAATGCTTCCTAATATCTTTCATTCATATAAAACAATATTTTTTTCCCTTTATTAAGTGAGAATAAAAATATTGATTAAAGAGTATGAAGTACTCTTTGGTAGAAAATATAATTAAATATCCTGTCAAATGTTCTAATTATCCCTTTCAATTACTATATGATTTATCATTTTAGACTTTATTTTTGTCAAACAAATTGTAGAAATTCAAGTTTTAGTTTTTTTTTTTGTTAATTATATCCTTATTCAATGATTATGTATTTTGGTTCCATTTGAAAATCAACCCGTGGACTTGCAATATGTAAAATTTTTTAGTATATTGATTGGTGTGAATCAAACCATTTTAACCAGTTTGAATTTTTAGTATAATTGGTGGTGATTAGTTCAAGCCGAACCTGTGATTTACAAATTTAATGAATTCGAACTAAACTAACTATTTATTTGTTTTATTAGATTTAAAGTTTTATAATATAATTAAATATTATAATAAAAATATTGTAAGTTAGTTATGCACAATTTTTAGATAACTATATGATTTAAAAAATATATTTTTTAAAAATATTCTTTTTTAGAACTTTTTATCTCTTATCTTTATCATTAAATTAATAAATTTAAATTTTATGGTTTCCTAAATCCAATTCAAAACTACTGAAACACACTATAAGGAGTTTGTTTACACAGCCTTTTTTGTTTTTTTTTTTCATAAACGCGTCACTAGCAAGATTCCAAAAACACTAGTTATTTAATGGACAATTTTACCAAAAAAATAAATAAACAAAAGTGACATAAACAATTTACTCATGCAGGTACACTTGGTAACATAGCATGACTCATCACGAGGAAAGTACAAATAGTATTATCTCACTCTACACAAATAGATATGAACTGCTTCTATATTAAGCACGTGTCAGCAGTGTGTAAGAAGCTTTATACTTGTTTGGTCCCATAATTCAATGATGCCAGCATTACATACAGAGAGAGATAGAAACAAGAAGCCGAAAAAGTTTAACTTTTTCCATCAAGTCAAAGAAGAATCAATGGCCCATTCCACAACCAGCAACAACCATATCTGCCTGCAACTCCATTATTGCTTCATCTTTCCTTAGTTCATCGAGTTCTTCCTCCGCCACCATCACCATCACCGTTCTTGATAGCCCTCCTTCCGAGCAAGGCATCACCATGATCATACCTTCACCCTCCACATTCCCCACGCGACACGAAACATGAACTGGCTTCTCGTTATTTCCAAATACTGCACCGTATAGCAACGACTCGTGATCTTCCTCAACCACCAAGTGCTCCATGCAAACACAAGTTAACTCACTCCCATACACGCGTTTCCCTTCATTGCTAGCCCGTATTTCTTCCTCTGAAAGCCCTTCCAAGTGCCTATGCACTGCACTAACTATGCCTCCTAGTTCCACGTCTTTCACTTTCTGCGAGAGCGTTGAAAAGTGCAAGGCATTTCCGAAGTACCCAATTGGGAGGGAAGGTTTTAGGAGACTCCTGAAGTCGGTGCAGATGCATAGAGAGTGAGTTTGGTCGTGAGGTTTTGGAGCTTTGACACGAGCGATGCGAGACCAAAACAGTGCCGCGAGGAAGTCAAATGGAGTGGCGTTGGGGCATGAGTCGTGGACTTTGTAAAGGCATTGTTTGATGGTTGAATCGGAAAACTTGAATGTGGCTGTGGCAAAGTTTGTCAAAGAGGATGCTTTTGTGGATGGTGATGATGATGGCAATGTTGCATGGCCTCGAGGGAGAGAGTCTACCTCGACCTGAGTGGGAAGTGGAGCGATTAAAGGAGAGTGAGTGATGGGAAAGTGGCGGTGAAATTCCGACCATGATTTGAAGAATGATGCCACGAAAGTTAGATCTGCCATCATGTGACTGCAACTTACTCCTATGGCAACACCTCCTTCTTGGAAGCTGTTTATCTGCAACAACACCCAATAATCTGTTATGTCTTATCCTATACAAGATCATCCATGTTAAATCTTCGAAAAAAAAAAAAGATTTTGATCTAAAGCTATAATTTTTGACCTAATAAAACAGCATGAAGCTATCCATGTGATCCGTGTGTTTAACTGACAAGTCTGTCTTTTCTTTTTCTTTTTTGGGTCTCTCACTGGTACAAAAAATTGTCTCTTCTTTCTTTCATTTGATGATCACTTGTAAAAAAAGGTTATGTAAAAGTTATCAGTTAATTTCTCACATACATCATGTGAATGCAGAATCTAGACCCTTTATTGGCAGAATAGAATGTGTAAACAGCAATTAAAATCTAAGAACTTTAAGAATTATTTTCTATACACGGATTGAGACGTTGAATATACATATAACCTAAATTAAATCCTTACCACTTGAATGTGAATAACACTACCTGAATTCGAAAGGGTGACCATGTGGTGGGATCCTCCGGCATATCATCCCAAGTAGCCAGAAGCTTCTCCTCAGAGCCAGAGGCAGATTTGAGCCATTCATGAAGGGTGGCATCCACGGTGGCCTTTATGATCCGAACGCCCGCATCATTGCACTTCACTTCCCACTCACCATCCTCCCCTCGACCCAACCGACCCGTCACAGTAGGGTACAGAGTCAGAACCTCCGACAAGGACTCCCTCAAAGGGTCCAAATCAAAGGACTCAAACCAGTTACCCTCGTTCTTGTAGTAGAATATAACGTGCAGACTGTGGCATCCCATGGCACGGTCCAGCGCGGATAGAGCGTGAACCTTATCCGAACTAACGGGTCTGCTTGACACAACGGTTAGTTTTGAGGTAAGGGTTACCCTCAACTTCAACATGCTTATGCTTGTGCTTGCCTTTGCCTTTACCCACACCAGAATGTGTGGTTTTTTATCAGTGTGACAGACAGATACTCAAAAACACGAACACACAATATTGGCTAAGTATTTCTTTGATGAAACTTGTTTATATCAGCGTATGGCTACATATGGTGTATATATATACTTATAAGTACAGTAATGAACATAAAAAATTGAGAATGAACAGTGTTAAGCTTATTGGACAGTTGAGAATTAAATAGAGGAAGGTGATGGTTGGTAGTTTTATTTATGTCTAGGACCTCACTCCTGTTTCTCAAATCTTAATTATGCTCACATGCTTCACTTTTCTGTTCATAAAAATGAATGAATTAAATAATGACATTTTAACAAATGTTATAATACCTGGGTCAGATCAATGGTCCTACGGTAATCGAATTCATAGATCTAATATGATTGGAAGTGTATCATACACACCTCTGTTCTTGTGCACATCTTCCAAGACTTGTTGCACACCCCTACTCCTCTGCAGGTCATTCAACTAATAACTCAAAGAGATTGATCCACGAGACTTTTATGACACGGGTTTTAGTTCCAATATGTTAATATTTTACTTCTATTCAACATTTCCTAATTTATATGCATTAACATAAGCATTTTAAGACAAGAGAGGAGAAGAAGATAACATTATATTATATATAATTTTGATAATAAAAGTCCTATATTATTAAAAATTTTAATATAATAATATTTATTTTTCTCAAAAATATATTAATCATCTTTTTAAGATTTCAACATAATTATTAATAATACAGGAAGTGAGAGAACGAAGAAAACTTTTACAGAAAAATTATATGCTAATATTTATTTTTCTTGCTATAAAAAGAATAAAATATTTATTTTTTAAATCATTCTCAAATCTCTTTCTTGCACCTTCTACTCATGCATTACATAATAAAGAGGATATTATAATTTCTTTGCGATAGTAAAATTTTATTATTATCTATGGTCAGTGTTGTTTATTTTTTCTCATATTTTATTTTAGTTAAGTTGTTATACCGTTAATCTGATTCCTAATAATAATATTAAAATCGAGAGTTGGTTTCTTATTTATCATATAATATTATTCCGCCACTGTTATACTCATTCAAATAGTATTGGATCAATGATTTATTATTTATGATATAATATTATTCCACTGTTATAATCATTAGAATAATGTTGGAAAAAATTCTTAGTATGTTCTATGGTTGCGGTTAATCTGATCTTCAATATCAAAAAATAATTATTCTAGTTACTGGATATAAAGTGTTGTAGTGTGATAATACATGTCTAAGAAAAATTTTGTGTCTATTAGTGACCCACCTCTCTTTCCTAGGAGTTTACCTAGTCTATTAGTTACGGTTTACGTTATTGTTCCAATAGACAATCCTATTCATAGTGAAATGTGCATAAGTCGGTTAAAACCATGACAACAAAATGTGAGATATAAAAGTTTAATAGGAATAATTTCTCATTGTGAAAACTGAATATAAAGGCAATTTTTTTAGGCATCACACATTAAAGACAGAATAAATTAACAATAACGCTAGCAAATTTATGGAGAAGGGTACAACGAAGGAGATTTGGGAGTCCCTCGTCAAATTCTATCATGATGAAACACATATTGGACTTGATTTATTATGATGTGTTGGAATCGCTAGTATTATCCTTAGGAGGGACCAAATATTGTGTCAATGATGATAATTATTACTCTAAGAGATTATGGGTGTACAACATCAAGAGGAAGTCTGTATTTTCAAAGTTCAAGAAAGACAAATTCTTGGATTATACTAACAATATTCTTTGACTATGCTAACAATGTGAATGAGTATTTCTTGTGGATCCCACTATCCACAAGATTATTGTCAGCAATGATAAAAATATTATTTTTCTTCAAGGTGAAGTTAGAGAAATGATTGATGTGCTCCAACCAGAAGACTTAAAGAAAAATGAAACTTGGTTTGCAGGTTGACCAAATCTCTGTACGATTTAAACCGGGTATCCAGGTGTTAGTATAAGAGATTTGATTCTTCATGATTAGTTTTGATTATAATAGACTAAGTTATCTATTACAATAAATTTGATGAGAATGATTTATCATTTTGTCATTGTATGTGGATAACATGTTGGTGTAGGTTCCAACAAAGTTCGAATCCAAGTTTTAAAGATACAGTTTGCTAGGAGGTATGATATGAAGAATTAGGGACTAATAAACATGATTTTAGGGATGCAAATCACCGGGACATAAAAGATAAGAATGTTTGACTTTATCAAAAGAATTACTTACTGAAGGTTTTGCAGTGCTTCAACATGCAAGGGTGTAAGCCAGTTTTTACTCCATTTTTTATCAAGTTATCCTCAAGTATGAGTCTTAGCAATAAAGTAGGAAGGATGTAAATGTCTCTAGTATTGTATGCATCGACGATGAAAAGTCTTATAAATATCATGATCGGTACATGACTAGACATTGCAAAAACAGTGGGAGCGATTAGTGGATCAATCAAAAATTATGGTGAAGAACATAGTTTTATCAATAGAAATCTTATCAAATGAACCTTGAATGTTGTATTATATTTCGAACGATCAAAACTAGTTATCAAATATTATGTTTGTTTAAGTTTTGCAGGTGATCTTGATGAGTTTACCTTTGTTGGAAAGGTAATAATTGGTTATCCAAGTTATAAAATGTTACACAATCAAGAATCTGATATGATTGTAATTATTGTCAAATATTGTAATTAGCTTAAATTGGGATACCTACTTAATATAGGAGAGATACTTGCCTAGTTTCTAGAGATTTAGCTTATTTCTCTCCTAATGTTATGTAACGGTCAGTGTATTCACTTGTATATATTTTGCCTCTCAATCAATGAAATATATGCTCTCGAGGTATACTTTCATGGTATCAGAAGCATCTCTATAATCAACTCTGATTTTTTTTACCTCTGCAGCATGTCTACCTCCAGCAACCTTAATTTGGAGAGCCCTTATTATCTTCACTCTTCTGATAATCCTGGACAAACTCTTGTGAGTGACGTCCTTACAGGTCTCAACAATAAGGGGAACACTCATGGACAGTCATCTACTTCATCCACTCGTGCTGACCAACGTAATGATGCTGTGAAAGATCCTTTATCTGCAGATTCGTTACAGCAACTTCTTCGCCTATTAAGGGAGGTAAACCAACCTAAGGCCAATCTCACAGGTGCGTCTCTAGCTCTTTATTCTTCCCTCTGTATGCCTACTGAATGGGTTATTGATACTGGCGCAACAGATCACGTTTCTTTCACCCCTTCCTCTTTTCAACAACCACCTATTCCTTCTTCTCTTCATAAATCTATTTGTGTTCCTAATGGTCATTCGGTTCCTATACATGGCTTTGGAAATGTACACATAACATCAAATATCATCTTGACTGATGTCTTATTTGTACCCTCATTCAAATTCAACCTTTTATCTGTGCCAAAACTCACCCAGACTACTAATTGTTCTGTTTCCTTTTATCCTGATCATTGTGTATTTCAGGACCATTTGACGAAGAAGGAGATTGGTCGGGGCCATAAAAAGGGTGGACTCTACTTCCTTGATGTCTCTACCTTTGTTGCCGCCATCATCACTACCTCATCCACCACTTGACATGCTAGGTTTGGTCATCCATCATCAAGTGCCCTCAAGTGTTTAGCTCCTGTTCTTGGTTTCAATAAAGACTCTTGTGACCATTGTGAAGTCTGTCATTTGTCAAAACAAACAAGACTCCCTTTTCCTTTACACACACCCACTAGCAATGGTTTGTTTGAATTGATTCATGTTGATATTTGGGGAAAGTATGCCACACCTACAAAAAATGGTCATCATTATTTTTTAACTATTGTTGATGATTTTTCCCGTGTCACATGGACCTATCTCATGAAATACAAGTCGGATGCCTATTCTTTGTTAGTTCATTTCTTAGCTTATGTTCGAAATCAATTTCAGACATGTGTAAAAACAATCCGCTCCGATAATGGCACTGAATTTACAAATAATTCATTTCGAGAAAATTCTTTGTGACTCTGGGATTCTCCAACAATTCTCTTGCCCAGGTACCCCACAACAAAATGGTGTCGTCGAGCGTAAGCACCGACATCTTCTCAATGTTGCACGGGCTTTACGTTTCCAAGCCGATCTTCCACTAATTTTTTGGGGTGATTGCATTCTTACTGCCACTTATTTAATAAATCGAACACCATCCAAAATTTTAGCCGGTCAAACTCCTTATGAAAAACTCTATGGCCATCCACCTGATTTCACTCACTTGCGTACATTTGGTTGTTTGTGTTATGCATCCACTTCACATGATCATCCAAATAAATTTGCACCTAGAGCTAGACGTTGCATCTTTGTGGGGTACCCTGCTGGTCAAAAAGCCTTTAAACTATATGACATTGATCATCATAAATTTCTAGTTAGTCGAGATGTCATCTTTCATGAAACAATATTTCCATTCAAGAATAGTAAGGCTTTGCATGATTTACACATGGAACGACACCCTCTTCCTCTACCCATTTGTGATCAAGAACCCCTAAATTCAACCAACCCCACACCTCCTAGAAACACTTCTCCACTCCCTCCTCCTGCAGAACCCAATGATAATGAACCCACACATACTGTTGAACCCTTGAATCCCTCCCTGCAGGTGACCACCCTTGAACCCACACATGCGGTTGACACTCCTACAGTGACTACCCTTGCACCAAGACACTCCGAACGTCTCAAAAAGCCTCCAGCGCACCTTGCTGATTACGTGTGCAATATGGCCTCCGCTCAATCTTCTTCCTCGTCTCCAGGTATGCAATATCCTATCTCACACTCTCTTTGCTCAAATCCTTACTCAAATAACCATCTCCATTTCATTAATTCTATTATCAAGCACATTGAACCCACCTCATATACTGTTGCCCGTAAAGATCCCCATTGGAGACAGGCTATGGAGGACGAAC